AGTAATAATTAATGTATATTTATGAACTTGACTAGTACCTTAGAAAAAAATAATAATAATGATCCCATTATTACCTTAAAAGACTCTTGCCTCCCATTACTATTCATGGTTGAGTTGCACGTTTTCACACCTGACTTTTCTCCAAACTGGTTAACAAATATCTTCTTTTTGCTTTGCTTTCTTGCAACCCGTCTCTATTTCCATTTCTTTTCCCGTACAGACGAAAGCAAAGCAAACCTTGAAGACTCCACTCTACTCCTCCACCGCCCCGCCATAATCTTTCTCCCTTTCTTTAAAGAAATCTTCGAAACTGGTAAAAAAAAGGAGCATTCTTTGGTCCGGTGCAAGGCATATGAAGCCGACCGATCGGAGCCGATTGGGGAGTCTACACTGGCCCGATCTGAGGCAGTTAGGAGAGTGAAGAACGGAACATATTTTGCCACGTCGTGGGCTCTGAATATGACCTTCGTTTAATTTCTGTTTTTGTTTTGGTTCGTGAAAGGTCGAAACCCTTCTTGAAGATAAAATGCCCAATTTTCTCCAAACTCCATCTCCTAACAGTTGCATCAAGACGTCGTCTTCCAACAATAAGAGGGTCTCGCCTCCTCACAACGTAGGGACATCTCCCAATATGAGAGGCAACCGTAAGTTGATACTTCAATCTATTCCGTCTTTTCCTTCTCTCACCCCCAATCATTGACAGTCTTCTCTCCGGTGAACAATTGTAGTATTTTTCCTATGTGCTCTATTTGTTCTCTTTGTTTAAGGTAAGCCAATTTCAAGCGAGAATCTTTCGATTTTCTCTATTTATTTTGTTCAAAATTTTTCTGTTTGCTCGATTTCGTCGCTATATTTAAGGTTAAGCAATTTTAGTTGAATTTTTTTCCCCTTCATTTTCTGTCTCTTCTTGTGCATATTTTTACCATTTCTTCTACTTTCATTTGTATTTGCTCGATTACTTCTTTGCGTTTATCAATTTTGACGGACATTTTTTTTATATTCAGTTCTGGCCTCTTATTTTGTGCATTTGTTCTGTTTCTTTCACCTCTATTTGCTTGATTACTTTTATGTTTAGGATTTTATAATTTGCACTCAGATTTTATGGTCAACAAAAAGTGTTATTACAAGGATGTAAATGAATTAGAACTTAGCATTTATTATTTTTTGTGCAAGATTGTTTACTTATTTAGAACTCTTTTGAAATTTTGAGGCTTATTTAACATGGTTCAATTCTATTCCAACTGAAAAGTTTCCCTTGCATCTGTTAGTGTACAATTAGATAGTTAATTACCTTTTATTTTTTTGCTCTTTTGTCTGCTGGCACTATAGCTAACATTGAATTCATAGAATTGGGTGTATTAGTAGAAAGAATTCCTTCTGTTGCCTATATTACCACTTCACTGGCACGTAATTTCTGCTTTGTTGCTCCTGTGTTAGTTTAACATTAGCGAAGGACCTTCATTGACAAAAAACAAAGGGAAATTTGTTATATTACCAAAGTAATAGTAAATTTGTGCTCCTTTCTAGCTTGAAGTCGTTATGACATGAATTAGATTACACTGAGTATGCTAAGTAACTTACTTTCTGAAATAGCAAGTCAATAAAAGAAGTAATTCCATGTTTGGCAAATAAATAACTGTGCGACGATCTAACACACATTTATCACTCGAAGTCGTTAATACATGATATGTACTTAACTATGTGTTCAATGGCAAGGATTGCCTGTTGGTTCGTCAATCTTTCTTTGACAATTATCCGAGGAACTTCACTGACGTTGGAGGAGGAGTTCTTGGATGTCGAGGATTCCACTCGAGTTTCCGAACCTCTCAAAGAGGAGGCTTGCCTTTGAAGATGGTAAAACTTTGAAGATGGTAAAACTTGGAGGAGGAGGCTTGCCTTTGAAGATGGTAAAACTTTGTTTGCATGTTAAATAATTTCGTTGTGCTTGTTAGTTATGATGTTATCCTTTCTCTTTCGCTTATAGACGTATCTACAACCATGATAATTCGGCCTAGTCTTGTGGTAGACTTTCTTATTGCAAACCGAAATGTGAAGGACCCCTTTTCTATTGACTTGGCAAAGGTAATGAACAATTCATTTAGGCAGTTGCATGTGTTTAATTGAACCACTTTCTTCAATCAAGAGTGTTTTCTCATTGCAAACAAAATCTACTATATTTGAACCCCTTAGGCAAAACGTGTTCGGGATAACGACGATTCCTACTAACCAGGAGTACGAAATTACTGTCATTACATTATGACAATTATGCCCAATTCTGCACCATGTTTGCTAATTAACAACCTTGTCGTCCTTTTGGAACACGTTCCCTTTCCCAAGCCAATTACACAACATTCTCTAAATATGCTTCTCAATCATGCAAAATGTATACTCCATCTAGGATTTTATTACCTCATTTCCTTTTTGAGTACTCTTAAGAATAATATCATCTTTCCTAGAATAGATACGTTTTCCCAGAAGTACACACTTGAAAACTTATCAGCTAAAGGTAAAATCCAAAACCACGTAACCTCTTATTCTCCTGTAAAACTTCATGCCAGCTTTAATTGGGATGTTCAATCCAAACAGATCAAACAAGAAATGCTTAGTTATTATGATGCTTTTGGCATCTCTTCAAAGAGAATTTCATGGTTAGCAAAAATGCAAATACGCCAACTGTGAACATATATTCAAACTTCTTCATCTTCTTTTGTGTTTTAGTCTGTATTGTATATTTTTTTCCTCTCTATTGAAAAGACAGTTAGTTTTTAATGTGTTTTATTCTCATCATATAATCTGATTATAATCTACCTCTACTACAAAAGAGAGGATGAGCCATATACTGTTCATTTTTGGTTCCTCCATTTCACACTAAAACTGATTTGTTACTGTTCATTAACTGGATGTGCATTGTTAATCCTTAAATTATTGACATTACATCAGATGAGGGTGATGATGATGTGGAAATAGTAGCTTATAAAAAAGATGATATCGAAAAGGGGAAGCAAATTGAGGCTGGGATGTTACATGATAGTGTAGAAAATTTGAACCTTGGATTAGCAATGATTGGGATGGAGACTATTGTTGGTAAAAGTAGTTTAGCGAGTGGTGATGAGAATAGATATACCGGGGAAGAGAAGGCTAAGGCTTCAGTTGTGGATCCTTGACGATGATTGGTGATTGTTACAATGGTGTGTTCTTTGTACATTTATTTATCTCCATGTATTTAAGTGTGCCTACTATATCATTAGCCAATTTTCCATGATCGTTATTTACTATTTAGAGATTAAAGATATCTCTTTGTATCCGAATGGAGTGCTGGATTGGTACAATCATCATCCTGCATTTTTGTCTTTGATATAAGCTTTTGCTATAAAAATTACTTCATTATAAGTTGGTCTTATTTGCTTGATTAGCAATGTGTTTGGAAAGTTCTCTTTCAAGTTCTGTTTAAGTCTTTTATGACTCTGCAGTTTTGATCTCAAATGAATAAAGTTCACCTAATATATTTTTGTTGTTCAAAGGTTGAAGCCATGTTATACTTTGATGCACTTTTTAACACATTTTCATGCATGTTGATTACATGCTCATTTTGCCAAGAGTTCTCTACAGTTTATCATTTTGAGCTAATAAATTCGATCTGAAGAATGTTAAAAACTGGAACATTTATGAACATCTTCATCTACTGTGTAACTCAATAAGAATTTGGTTATTTGGTACCAATTGCTCTGGGCATTGTCATTCATTGATCACTTTTTTATTACCCAAGTATTTTGGAGTCTGGAAAAAGCCTAATGATTTTATGTACCAAGAAGGCATGAATCTTAACTGAAAATTTAGCATTTGTAAATTTGCCATCTGGGCTGTTGACCCTTTCTTTTAGTTGGTCTATTCTTAAGGTAGGAGTTTACATGTTTTTTTGTTTGCTTTTTTTTTTTTCTAGCAATCTGGTTTGCCTGTTGGAATATATTTCAACAAAGATATATTAATCATATACTAGCAATAAGAATGAAGATATGGCTATACTGAACATATTCCAAAATTCATATGCCCTCTTTAAACATTACCCTTATGAAATATAGTATATTTTAATTGATCGAATGAATTCACAGTTGTTCTTCCTTATAAAAATTGCTCTCTTCTTTTTTTTGACAATTTCAATAGACACACATAATTTATTTATATATTTTTTTGCTCCTTTTGCAGATCCATTTTCGATGGAACCTCAAGGCAATTGAAACAATTGGAAAAACCTTGAATCAACAGTACGAGAGATGGCAGCCTAAGGTAAGGAAAATATTGTCTTAAACCACTTCATCTCTTGATTCTTTAAAAATCACTCATGTTTTGTACTTGCTAAAAAGAAATAGACCGGAAAGAGAGGATTTGAACTTCGTGACGTACAATTGAGAGTCAAATATTCATCAAACAATGGTTGATATATGGCAGGCTCATTATAAGATTTCATTAGATCCTACCATTGATGAAGTCGAGGAACTTTGTACCACGTTGCAAATATGCAATCTGAGAAAGTTCTGTTTCACTATAATGGACGTGGTATGCTAAAACCAACTGCTAGTGGTAAAATTTGGCTATTTAATAAGGTTTCTTTCCTTAATTCTCTCAATTTTTCTTGTAGTGTTTTGTTTCAGTACATTTTCCTCTGGTTCTCAATTTTTCTTTCCTTTGATGTAGATTTATACTCAGTACATTCCTTTTCCAATGAGGGATTGTATTTTGTTGGCAGCCTGTAAGGCTCATGAGGTACTCCCTCAAGAGTGCTGAATTTCCACCTGATGTATTTACTTCCTGCCTGATAACACCCATAAAAATGGCATTCAGATGGTGACATATTTCTCCTAACCCTTCATCTTTAGAACTGCCATTGATGTTTTTAACTTCACCCCCAATCTATATTTAATTTCTCTGTCTGTAAAATCTACAGATGTTTGTGGCTAATATGCTTGTAGTTGGTCAAAAGTAGAATAAACTTTTACTTCTCTTGAGATCATTTTCCTATAACTATGCTCCCATATTTGCGTAATCATTATGCCCCTTTCACGTGACAACAAAACTGGTATTGAATAATCTTCACATATGAGTTTTAAAGTTGGAATCATATAGTACCAAAAAAAAAAAATCCTTTTAGAAATGAAGAAATTTTCAATTATCATCCGGTGTCAATACGCTATCGTTGACAGCTCGCAACTGATAATACTAATGTAATTTTTCATGAGCTCTGATTTACTTGATGAACATTGTAGTTCCTGAATAACTAATTCCCATAAACTCGCTTTATCTTCTCATCTTTAGCATCTCCAATATACTTTACCTATTCAGCTTGTTGCTGAATGTTCTCATTTCATATAATTATGTTATCGGTTACCCTGTACCAAAGATGTTTTTGAGCATATTGGTGATTTTTCAATGTCGTATAAGCTTCCACTCGTGCAAATATCATGACAATTTGGTCTCCTATCGTATGGTTCTGTAGCTTGGGATGCTTAACATGGATTTTTACCATCTGGCTTAATTATCCCATTGATTTAGATTTATGGCCCAACATTTATGGCTTGCTTCAATTTAGCGAGCTTTGGGAGGACTGCTCTAGAATTTGCAGACGAGCAATTATTCCAAGTATTTCAGCTTGAACAATTTCTTCCAATTCATTCTTGATGCATTTGTGTAAAAATTTTCCCT